AGTAATAGAATCACCCCAAAGAGTGTGGCGGCAGTTAAAGTCACCAACTAGGAGGAAAGGTGGTTGAAGTTGGGAAATTAGGTTTTCAAAAGCAACAAAGTCAATGGGGTGGGAAGGGGAGAAGTAGACTGAAATCACTGTGATCCAACGATGAAGGAAGATGCGAATATCGTTAGGAGGAGGATGGATATCAGCAATTACTTGGAGTGTGGAAGGAGTAGGAGTTGTAGGTTGAGTGTCAGTTTTCATTAAGTAATCTTGAATATTTTCAATAGTTTCTTCTGTGGAGTTGGTTGGGGAGTTTTGGGGGCTAAAGGATTTCTTGTGAGGGGGGGAAGAGAGGACTGGTGTCTCAAGAGTAGGGGCAAAGGATGGTGGGGGTGATTGTGTGGTAGGGGAAGAGGGGGTGGAACGTTTGTTCTGTCTGTTACGGGTAGTGCGAGGAGGGAGAGGGGAAGGTGTTGGGGTTGTAGTGGTGATTGGAGTATCTGTAGTAGAGGTTGGGGTGTCTGGATTTAGGATGGCAAAAGAGTTTGACTGGGGAAGGTAGGAGGTAGAAGTGGGGGAGTTAGATGTAGGAGGGGTGGGTTTAGGAGAAGTGTTAGAATGAGCAGTATTACTGGAGTAAGGAGTGAGAGAGAATCCACGTCGACGTGCTTCCTGTCTGGCTTCACGTAGTGTGAGTCCAAGTTTGAATCTGAGAGTTGCTACCTCAGATTCAAATTTGTAGGTGGGACAGACCCTATAAAATACATTATGGGGACCGCCACAGTTTGCACATGTGCGTGATTGTGCAGAGCAGTTAGATCGGGTATGGCCAGGTTGGGTACATAGTGGCTGTGGAACGGCAATGTTTGGCTGGGTGTCCTAGACGCCAACAATTTTGGCACTGACGTGGAGGAGGTTGGTATGGACGAACAGGGAGGGATTCTATGTAGACGTTAAAGGGAAGGTCATGTCTACGGAAGGTAATTTTGGCTATGTTAGTGGGTTTCTTTCGATGACCTCTGGGGGGAATGGAGTAGCATTGTACTGATGTTGCATCATTGTCTGTGAGACAGGCAAGTAGGTCTTCTCCACAATCTGACCAATCTTTGTCATAGATTGGGCAATTTGCTGGGGAGATTGAGACTGTTCCGGTGCAAGTATTGAGGGTTGGATGGGGTTCTGCAAGGATGGGGTTACCATATAGGTCAGTTAGTTTTGTTAATGCTATAGCTTGGTTTTCGGATGTTACTGTGACAAGACGGGAGCGGTCGGGTCGGCTACGGAAAGAGACTTTACCTACTTGTTTTTGGAGGCAATGTTGGAAGAGAAGGGTGTTGTCAGAGTAGGGAGCTGTGGGAGGGATCACGAAAAATCGGTCCCATTTGGCTGCACTAAAGAGAGTATTCAAGATTGTTTTAGAGATAGGGGTGGTAGAAGGGCGGGGGCGTGACGAAGATGGAGTAGTGTTGGGGGAAGTAGTGTTATGGAGAGGTGGGCAATAAGGCTGTAAGGTATTAATAAGGGAGGATGGGGTGGTTGATGTTGGAGGTTGTGGGGGTAGAGGTGTTGAAGTTGAGCATGCTGGGAGAGTGGAAATGTTCTTTGAGGGTTGATTGTTGGCTACTGTACTAGTAGGCATTGATGAAGGGGTAGTTATTGCAGTGTTCGGAGCCGTGGTCAAAGGAGAGCCTGGGATCAGGGAATCGGGTGGGTTTACTTCGTTGGGGCTATTTGATAAAGGGGCAAGCCTAACAGTGGGGATATATTTTCATTACTGGCCATGGTAAGCCTGGATTATGTTGGGGATAAAAACAGTCCACCCCTCAGGGTCCCCTTGAGGGGTAAGGGCTAGATAACTAAAATCAGGGGAATACCGTGCCCATGGCTCCCTCAGGCCGTTCAAGGACTGGCACAAAGTCAACCTTTCATCCTTTCAGCACGGCTCTCACACCTTAGGAGGTGGATAGCAGAAGGGTTTGGTGAAGGGACAGAAACAAAAGTGGGAAGGGAAAAAAAGACCATGCATAATTAGTTGAGTCGAGGGCTGAGTCCCAAGGTTGGGGAGTTCCCCATCATTGGGTCCCAGTCTCCGCCTCCTAAGCCCCCCCACGACAACAACGGGCAAGGGATTGGGGGGGGGGGGGTTACAAAATGAAAAAAACACTATGGAGGATGAGGAGATAAAGTGGATGTTAAGAGAGAGGAAGAAATGTTTTTTTGAAAGTTGAGTAATGACCAGGGTGACTGACTTGGAATGGACTGAGTTGACACGACGTAGCGAGAAAGAACGTAGTAGCTGTTCGAAGTCGAGGAACCAGAAATGATGAAGTCAATGGGACTAGTTGATAAAAGGGCAAGCCTCAACACCGCTAATAAAGGCACAAGTGAGAAAGGGAGCGGGGAGGGAGGGGTTGACATCAAAGGTCATATAGCAATAGAGAAAGGCGTAGTAGTGAAAAGGGTAAAGAGGTGGGTTTGTTGATGATTAAATGTGGTACACGTCAAAAGTAGTATAGCAGTTCAGGATAGTATGGCATTGAAAGGGGTGAGTAAATGGGCAAAGGAAGTTAACAAGGGTGATTATTTATTTTTTTCTGCCGTCATTAGCGGCGTATTCAAAATATAGCGTGGGGCTTGGGGCGAAGGCCTCAGGGAAGATTTTTTTTATAAGGCGATGTTTGCATGTTCCAAGGTAACATAGCATTATATTAAAGTATTGAGGCGAATAAAAAGTAAAAATGAGTTAACGATTAGGATAACAGGGCAGAAGGGGATGAGAAGGATAAGGATAGGAGAAATGACTACGGAGAATTAGTTAAGGAAGAGTTCCAAGGTAGGGGTGATTTCCTACACTGGGCCTCAGTCTCCTAAACCCCCCTCGACAGGAAGAAGCAAAGAATCAGAAGGTGATTAGATAAAAGCTATTAAGGAAGAAATGTGGGATTCTGCATGGAGTAGGAGGATGGATGTAGAGGAATGGGAGCAGAGAGATTGATAAGGTGTAGGCATGTTATCTTGGGTCAAGATTAGATAGTTTTGAATGCCCTCGAGTTTCTGAAGTGGAGTTGGTTGGGGAGGAGGGGGGGGGGGTTGGTATGGTCGGACAGGGGAGGGAGGGGACTCTCCACCACCATAAACATCATGGGGGAGGTCATGTCTACGGAAAGTAATCTAGGCAATACTGGTAATAATAATACTGTAACAGGTCTTGGACTTCATTCAAATTGTGGCCTGCAAGGAATGGCCGGGGTTACCATCCACTGGCGGCGCAGAAATCGAACGTAGGTGTGTGTGTGTGTGTGTGTGTGTGTGTGTGTGTGTGTGTGTCTGTGTGTGTGTGTGTCTGTGTGTGTGTGTGTGTCTGTGCGTGTGTGTGTGTGTGTCTGTGCGTGTGTGTGTGTGTGTCTGTGTGTGTGTGTCTGTGTGTGTGTGTCTGTGCGTGTGTGTGTCTGTGTGTGTGTGTCTGTGTCTGTGTATGTGTGTGTCTGTGTGCATGTGTCTGTGTGCGTGTGTCTGTGATCGTGTGTCTGTTTCTATGTGTGTGTCTGTGTCTGTGTGTGTGTGCGCGTGCATGTGCGTGTGTGCGTGTGCGTGTGCGTGTGCGTGTGCGTGTGCGTGTGCGTGTGCGTGTGCGTGTGTGTCTGTGTGTGTGTGCATGTGTTTGTGGTTAATGGTTAATGGTTAAAAAGCAAGATAAATGTGCTAGACATCTAAGGTCATGTAGCACTATAGTTGATGTTAGTGAAGGGTGGTAGAGTTACTGATTAGTTGTCTAAGCTGGGCAAAGGAATTGGTGAGTGAAAGGGTTAAGGTCGGGTGTGGTAAGGAGTTAGATTAGATGAAGGATATGTATGCGTTTGAGGAAAGAGAACAGGTTATTGAAGCAGAAAGTGTGGGATTCTGTAAGGATGTCTGATAGGTTGGGAGGTCGGTGAAGGGAGGATAGGTGGGGTAAAGCAGAGGTACGGGCTGCTTCAAAACGTGGGCACGACAATAGGATGTGTGGGATTGAAAGGGGAACATTACATAAGGAACATAGGGGTGGATCAGATTGTGACATCAGATAGGAGTGTGTTAGACGGGTGTGGCCAATGCGTAAGCGGGCGAGAGCGGTCTCCCAACGTCTGTTCCGATGAAATGGACCTGACCAGGAGATTGATAGTTTTACAGAATGTAATTTATTAGTGCGGAGACTTGACCAAAAAGATTGCCATTGATTATACAAGGTCTTAAAGTGTGGGTAATAATCCGTGGCTGGGATACGTAAGAAGCATGGTTGGTATGATGTGGACATAGCAGCGTGGAGTGCTAGTGTATCTGCTTGTTCATTGCCGGTGATTCCAACATGGCTGGGCACCCAGCAAAATTTGATTGTTTTATGGCGTGTGGACAGGTAGAGCATGTGTCTGTGTCTGTGTGTGTGTCTGTGTCTCTGTGTGTGTCTGTGTCTCTGTGTGTGTCTGTCTGTCTGTGTGTCTGTCTGTCAAACTTCCAAACACTTTGTTACTTCAACAAAGGTTTTGAAGCAATTCTCACTTAATATTTTCAGGCAAATTCTGAATCTGGTATCATTTTCTTCCATTATTCCATTTTTATATAAATGGATTGGCATTTGAGTCTTAGATCATGATGCTAAAGACAATTACCAAACAGAGCTACAGTAGGATTTTTTCCTAAATTAGTTACAAAATTTACTGTAATACTTGTAGTTTCTTAACAGGTTCAGTGGTTTGGCACAAGAAGTGTGTTGTAATTGAATATTCATTATCTGCATAGTAGGCTTTGGTATTTTATAAGGTCAACAAAAAATGTTTAATATTTCTGGTTTTAAATATTTCTTGTTTCAATGTTTGTACAGTTTTGATGTCAGACATCTAAATGCTGTGTTGTATATTTTGTTAAATCTTTTATCCTCTATGATCTTCCCAGGCAAATTGTGTGACTGGCCATTTCCATTTTCCAGTAGTACTTTCTTCTTTAGTTTTAACTACAAATTGACTAAAAAGACAAAATTTGTTAGAATTTCTCTCAATTTTCTTTATTGATACTATTCCACTACCCTCCTGCTTGTTATACTGATCACAAATTATCATAAGAACGTGGCCACTCACTTAGTCTATAGAAATTTCTACAACTATAGATGCGAGTGTAATGTTCACATGAGATGACAATTTCTACACCAAGTACCCTAAGTTGCTACAAAGGTATTGGTTATGGCTAGATCATCAACTTCAGTACAAGTTCAGTACAATCATCTTTAAATCTCTAAACCATTTATGTACCAAACAAATATGTCTAATAACATAATCAACACAAATTTAACTGTTAAAAAGACGCCCTTCAAGAAAGTGGCAATGAATAAAGAACTTAGCACAAAGCCTAACAGCTGGATAAAAATATACATGTGACCTATCCTAAAACTGATTATATCCTCTGAAAAACACTTCATGGATATAATGCACATATTTATGGTCAGAAATAATAAAGAATAGTATCTAAAAAAAAGATACAAGGCTGGAGCAGTGCTAAAAGAAAAGGTTTTATCAAAACAATTTAGGTTATGTTAAGTTATGCAGATTTTTAGCTTTACACATTTCTATTCTTATTCATTCCTGTTGCTTGATCTTCAAAGATAATTTTAAAAAAGAAAAGCATCATGGGGTTATCTTAAGCAAAGCAATCTGCACTTCTACTACTTTGGCTAAACAATTTAGCACTACTATGCTAAATCCTCTCATTAACATTTATGATTAGGTGCAAATTCAAATCTTTACAGAACTCTCTTCTACAAACTAAAAGGAATCTATAAAGCATAAAAAATAACAACTATCACTTTCACTGTTTTATGACTACATCTTCCCTAATTTTAACAAAAGAGTTATGCTGCCACACAAAATACAGATTCAAGATTTTATTTTTTTAAATAATTTTAAACATACTACTGGTGCCCTTTGCTTTCCTTTTCTTTTTTTCCTTTACTGGGTATTTCATGCAGAATATACTGCTTACTATCAAAACACCTGTCCACTTGAAAATTATGTGCACATTTTAATGATTAGAGCAAGTGAACTGGAAAACACTTCATACTTCCCATCATTATCAAATCAAGAATCATTGAGCATTCACAACATCCTTCATCTGTAAACATATATTGGACTTCTAAACACCTTGGAATGAATCTTTATATTGCATTGATGGAGAGATATTCCTGTAACAAACTGAAATATAATATCAGTGCTTGGATATTACTTCTTCATACATTGTGTACAAAATCTTCAATCACAAGAGGTAAAAATGTACAGTAAAGGGTTTTGTTCACCCAATAGGCATGGATGGCAAGAATATATGCCTTGCCCACTGTAATACAAGTTGATTTATTGTATTTACACACAGATGGCTCTACAAGTGCTTGATCACCAAGATGTCAGTTATTAGTCCTACCTATCTCACCTGTTTACCCTTTTCCTTGACTTTTTGTATGATTTCATCGTCTTAATTGTTATTAAAATCTTGGTAACATTAAAGTAATCATAACATCAATAACAATAACAACAGTATTAATATGAATTGCATTAAAAAGAAAAATACATTTTCCTGCCAATTCAAGGGATGGGGAAATCAGGATTGGTCATTAGGGCCTACTGATAAACCCCCTGCCAGCTGAGCACATGTGGAGCCATCTGCATGTAAGAAAATTCACAAGAAACTACAGGGGACAGAACATAAATCTGTGGTGGTTGGGTTAAGGATGTGTCAAAAAAAAAATTAGTTCAATTTTCCTCAATATTTTATGTTCTTATCAGGGGTAATATAACTAATTTTATTACTATTTGAAAATGTTATACTGATCTCCTATCTCGATGTTTTTTGTTTTTTTTAGATGACTGATAATGTACAACTAATTTTTTTTTTCTCAAACAAGAAACAACAAAGAAGAAATTACCAAGAACACAAACTCTATATTACAAAAAAAAAAATTACTAATCATCCAACAACTAAAATTTGTAAAATATAACAAAGACCTACACAAGATGGTGTTCAATTCACCCACAAAAAAAATGTGAAGATCAATCTGAACAAAGACAACTCAAAGATAAGGTTTCCTACACCCTTCCTTTGTATCAATATTCGGAATGATGTATTGTGTGAGAAAGAGTAGTATTCCATACTCATCTCACTCAGGTTAGTGTGTTGCCTGTATGGCTGATCCTGTCTTCTCCCTTGCCTGAAGGATTTAAAAATCATCCTATGCAAAGACTGTATCCTCTTGAAGCAAAGAATATAGAACTGGTTATCACTATATATATTCCCTTGGTCAGTGACTTCATTCACATGTCAACATAGATAAAAAGGTTCACACAGACTTACAGCACAAAACAGAACTGAACTGTAAGAGCTTCCAGTAAGTGATATGGACCTATTCATAATCTGCGAAGGAGTGAGAATGTTATTTCAAAACCTTGAATATGAATGAGAATAAACCAATAGCTGAAAGGAACATGCATGGAATGAATGAAAATATAACTTTTCACCACTTCTCATCAGTACACATTTCCCACGAGGACAAACAAGCTTTGAAGTCCCACATTCCTCCGGACGGAATATTACCAACTATCCAAGTGCTTGGCCCTTTCCAAGGAATAGACACCTATGAATGCAAGACTTGTGGAAAGTTTTATATGAATATATACAAGGACATTACATGATTCATTTGATGTTCAATGGGAATGATAATGCAGATTCATCAGTATCCCTGGAAACTATGATATACACTGTACAGAAGCAATTATATTATTCAGGTCATCTGTAGGCTTCTTTCTTTTCACATGCTACCTTGTTACCCAACATATACACTGTCATAGGAACTAGCAAGACTTCAAAAATTGTTAGTGACAGGTTCCTAGTGGGCATAATTTCCAAATCAAAAGAATTTCCCTAAATTTTATCTGTTCAAATTTTCCAGAAATCACCAACTACTTACACACCAATTCATTTTCACCAAGTCAGTACACAGTATATATATATATAAAAAAAACAGCACGATTTAGATTTACTGACATTATTTAGCTTTGTAAAGAAAATACACTTTACTTTTGGGAACACTTTACTACTGAAGTTGTAAAGTGAAATAACTGAATATCTCTTGTATATCCAATCTTTGGAACAAAGTTTTTTTATAAATGACAGGCTAATGAAAATGAGAATAGAAAAAATAATTTAAAAAATAATAAACTGAAAACAATCTTCATGCACCATAATACGTCTCCAATAGTTTTTAATGACATAATAGAAACATAATGAAACTATACAATCAATCCTATCATCCAATACCAGAAACTCCAAATCACAAAGTAGTAGCACCGGTGGCTCCCTATCTAAAATAACCTTCATATTCATGATGGAATCCATGAAATATATAGCTCTTTTATTATGATTCAGACTACAGACTTTCACTTTCAGCTCCGCACACCTTCGCAGGCAGCATAAATTGGCCCAGCCTTCTCCTGAGCTAACTCCTTGGCCCTCTTTGCTGTTTCTCGAGCCGCATCTTTCAACCTGTTCATAAAAAAGCAAATAATGAGAACTCTTTCACTATCCAAAGAAAACAACAACTGAAAACATGAATGTATTCTTAGTATGACCAACCCATATAAAAATATTACATCAACTATAAAACGTACAACTATTAATTATCTATTCCTATTATTGCTTGAAATATCTAATTCTTGGACACAACACCAAACGAAGCCAACTTTGTAACATACCTCTGTTTTCTCTCTTCTAACGTAAGGTGGTGGATATGGCTGCTTTCTGCTGGAGTATCAATGACAGGGAATAATCTATTCAAGGCAAAGCTGAAACCCAAGTTGGTCTTCTGGATGTTCTTCTTGTAGCGCTCCAGTCCAAATTTCTAGAAGATAAAGGTTTTTTTGGGGGTTAATTTTGTTTAAGCCATTCGCCACACGTGGCAAGAATAGATGCCATACCCACTTTGAGACACATTTATTTATTGTATTTACACACAGATGGCTCCACAAGTTCTTAATCACCAAACAGCCAGTTATCAAGACTACCTATTTCACCTGTTTGCCCTTTTCCTTCACTTTAGGAAAGGGTTTTTTGTATCATTTCATTGTCTAAAATAATCTAATGGCTATTTAATTATCATAACATCAGTAACAATAATAACAGTATCGATAGCAATGCTATTAATTTTCCCGCCAATTCAATGAATGGGAAAATCAGGGTCCGTAACTTGGGGCTACTGATAGACTCCTTGCCGGCTGAGTACATGTGGAGCCATCTGTATGTAACAACATTCACCACAAACTACAGAGGACAGAACATAAATCCAGGGCGAATGGGTTAATACCTGCCTGCCTATGGGTGAAAAATATTTGTTAAATATTTCTATAGACAAAGTGTAAATCTAAAATCAATCTTGGAATTGTAAAGTATCAACATCATGAAACAGATTTCCCCCAAACATCTCACGTCATATTTCCTGCTCTCTTCATGCGTGTAATAGATTACATATCAATGCTAAAGTAAACTAGGTTACAAGGAAGAATAACAATAACTCCTCCAAACATACCTGAATTGCATATCCTAAGCCAAATATTTTTGAGTCAATCCAAGCTTTTCTTTCAGCCACAGTCCACTGCGAATTCTCGGGGCTAGGTTTGTAAACTACTTTTTCGACACAGGTCATCACCTTTACTCACAAAGAAGAAAAAGGGAAAAACATCATGAATTAAAGTGATAATATGGCAATCATTATACAAAATATAGGTATTTAACCATGATTTCTTAACATATGCTAGTACAGTGTATTCATAACTTACCTTTGTCAGTCCAACATTCCTGGTATAAGTACATATCTCTCTCTTTTCTGGATCCACTATTGATTCTTCAATGACACTGACATTTCGAGTATTTATTAAACGTTCTCCCCACTTGGGCATGCGGTTTGTTTTGGTTAAGACACGTTTGGAATGAAGTTTATTATCAACAACTTTTCTCGCTACTGTATCCTCTGATAACACATGCAAGCTGAAAGAAAAAGCCGATTAGCACAAAAAATAACCAATATTAAAAAAAATACCTCAAAATGTGTGTGTGTGTGTGTGTGTGTGTGTGTGTGTGTGTGTGTGTGTGTGTGTGTGTGTGTGTGTGTGTGTGTGTGTGTGTGTGTGAGTGTGAGTGTGAGTGTGAGTGTGAGTGTGAGTGTGAGTGTGAGTGTGAGTGTGAGTGTAAGTGTGAGTGTGTGAGTGTGAGTGTGAGTGTGAGTGTGAGTGTGAGTGTGAGTGTGTGTGTGTGTGTGAGTGTGAGTGTGAGTGTGAGTGTGTGCGAGTGTGTGTATACATATATATACATATGTGTATACATATATATACATATATATATACATATAAACTATAATAACTATATAATTTTTTTTACAAGTATTCAATTTCCCTGTATATTACAAATTAGATTTCTTGAAGTTAGAGTAAATTACCTCTCTGGATTAGGGTATCGCTGCCACAGGCCCCGAGCAACTTGCTCCCATGGGAATTTCAGGGTACTTGAGCCTTCGTAGTATTTCATGGTGACAATTTTTCTAGCTGTAAGATAAGATTAAGAAAATAAGAAACCATTACAATCAAAATTATCTGAGAAAATAAATGAAGATCCCCAACTTACCAAACTGGTTAATGGTTATAAAGCAAAATAAAAGTGCTAGACATCAAAGGTCACATAGCACTACAGAAAGGTGTGTTCGTGAAAAGGGAGAGGGGACTGTTGTTGATTTAATGCGCTACACATCAAAAGTCCTTCCACAGTTTGGAAAGCATGGTACTGAAAGGGGGAAAAAAGTAAATGAGTTAAGATAGGGATTAGCAAAAGGATGATTAGATCAAAGTTGTCAAAGGAAAAAGGGTAGGCTTTTGCAAGGATGTCTGTGGGGTAAGGGTAAGGGGGGGGGGGTTAAGGGCAACTGGATCAAAGAGCAGTTTTCAGGAAAAAATGACAGGAGGGGAAGGGTCCAGGGAAGCATACTGTGACAAAAGGTAGTCAGTCATGTGTATAAATGAGGGAGCAGAATGATAACAGAGAAAGAAGGGGGGGTGATGATGATTAAGTAGGGGGGATGGGCTGTGGGGGAAAGGGTTGGAAGGAGTTGGAGGAAGGGGTGTAGAGGGAACAAGAGTAGGAGGATGGATGGATGTTGGCAGAAAGCTTGGAGTAAGGATGGGGTGTGGGCATGTTATCTTGGATCATGATTAGATATTTTTGAACATTCTTAAAGATTTTCTGAAATCGAGTTAGAACGTGAGGTACACAATAAAGATGCAGGTAAGTAATATGAGAAGAGGGGTTGAAAATGAAGACTGCAGAGGATAGAGGGAAGGAGAACAAGATAATAGGAGAGAGAAGGAATGGGTAATAACCAGGGTAGGTGCTTCAGACTGGACCGAGCTGATAGCAGGTATCGAGGATGGAGTAGTAGCAGCGTTCAGAGTCATGATCAAAGGAGACCCACAGGTTGGGAACCAGAAAAATTAGTGTCTGTGGGGCTAGCTGATAAAGGAGCATACCTCAATGCACCTAATAGAGGTACAAAATCATTATTGGTCATGGTAAGCCTGGAGTGTGTGGGAAAGAGAAATGATTAATTTCTCAGGGTCCCCATGAGGGAAAAGGGATGGATAACTAAAGGGGAATACCATGCTCATGGTTCCATTTTAACAATAAACCCCTTAAAAACATATATGACATTACATTTCACACTGTCATATTAAGAAAATTTTCTTATCGTCTCTAATCCTGTCATACTGACTCATACACAAGATTTATACTAAGCTGTGCAGATTTAAACTCTGGCTGGCTGCTGACATGATTTCTATTATCTCATTGTAAAACTCATCATTGGAGAGTTGGCACAATATCTAGTAAAAATTGGATGGTAAAGTTTCATTAATTAAGAATTACAAAAAATACTTAAAATACTGACAATTTCTTTATCCTGTAACCACAATTTTGAGCTTCCATATCACTATTTTTAAATCATTCAACTCTTTTTATATATATAGACAGAATACAACTTTCTTCTAATTTTGTTCTTATGATCTTATAGATTCTTATGATTATTTTTCATCATATAATACACTATGCAGATGGAGATTAGCAGTATGAAAGAGACCTATATAGGCAAAAGCTAAAAAAAATGTGGGGACACTGTCCTCCCATGAAGAAACCCCACAAGTTTCAAACAGGATGCACAATACTAAAATACATATGATATTAAATTTTGAAGAAAATCAGAAAGGCAATTTTTTTTTATCATTTACCAATTTTACCCCCATTACTTCCCTTCTTAGGTATGGTCCCTTAAAATGATTATCAATGTTATCCCATTGTTCCAGGTATGTATTATGTTTTTTAGCATGAAACATAAGCCATTGTTGCTTCACCCTAATCACCTCAGTTTCCATGCCAGCTGGATCTGCCACAGGCCAACATACCTTCAACAAATATACTCTGGTAAAGACAATTACATGAGCAAAATTGTGTGTGCACTGCAGTTACAGCCCATGCACAAGCCTACTATTTCCAAACACATGCTGTTCACATTGTTTCAAAAGTGTGATAGTATAGCTGTTAAATTAAACATGTTCATTTTATATAAATGATATATATGTTACATATAACATTTAAGTCAATAATTTTTTTTTCATTTAAAAGTTCTTATCTGTACACAAAGTTGTACATATAAGGAAAAAAACAGACAATGTAGGGCAAGTGAACACAGACAGAGTCAGGTCTCAGTTGATTTGACTATCATGTAGACAGCAGTATCATCACACCCACAGTGTACGTACTCCAGTGTCATAAACGTAGTCCAATTTTATGAAGCTCCATCTTGCAAGCTTTTTTGGTAGAGATGTGTTGGCTTTTGTCTGTGGACAAAGCACATAGGACACAGTAATTGGCTGACGTTGCACCACTATCAAGCTATCCATAACAGCACATTTTGAGAGCCAATGTATATTATTCTTAAAAAGCCCTGATTTGAAAGCTACACTTGCTGAAGTGCATAAAGAAACTGCACGAAACTTTTCACTGTGTGATGACAACTTTGGCTTTTAGCATGGGCCACATACTATGCCACAGAGTGTTTATGAATTTAACTCCTGTGGAGAGGAAAATTCAGAGTTTTGTGGTGCCATTAGATGATAAAAGGAGAAATGAGTCTCTGTAATAAAGAAATGGAGGTATCAACGAATAAAAATCTTTGCCAGTTTTGAACTTGTCGACCAAAAAACAGAATTCCCCATAAGACAGGAAAATAAGGTCAACTCAACAAACGGTTTTCACCTTTAAACCATGTGTAACAGTCATACCTAATAACAATAACTGAAATATGTAATTTTTTGGTAAATCTTTAACTTTGACCACACCTGTCTAAAACTAAAGGACTTACAGAAAACATTTTCTCAGAACTTAACATACAGTGCC